CTTTAGAGAGACTTCTCTCTCTATAAATTAGATTCTCAGCATTGGGCCTGACTTAAGAAAATTTTACTATGATCTATTTTTAGCTAGATTAATGATCTCTGTGTAAAATATCAGCATAAAGCTGTCCTTAGACTCTAATTTTACGTCTTTAATCATAATCACATTAATTTCATTATGGCCTACACATTCTTTCTGTAAATTCTTTCTGATTACTTTCGCTCACATTATTTATATTACATGCCTTCTACTTATCTTTTAATATAACATGCAAATTTAGCGAAAATCACCTAGTGCCTTACTGCATTCCCGAGTCATTCAAGCTGCGCCGGTTTCTCACGAACGAGCTACAACAGCCATGTCCCACCAGCGCTCTTTAAACACGAATCAATCAGGTTCAGTCATTAATAAAAAGGTCGCGAATCTTCCCTCCACTAAACTAACCACAAACTCCAGCAGCAGCGCAATGATCAGCAAATCTCCAAATCGTGGATCGACAACTCTGTACAAGGAAGTTTCCACAGCTAGTGTAAAGCAGCCGAAAAGCAGCCTGCACCAAGCGACATCGGCGTTGCCGAAAACACACACAACCAGCTCGACCAAACCTTTCGGAACAAATGCCGCGTCACCAGCGACGGCGGCATTAATTGAGTTGGATCGTGTCACCAAGACTAGCGAGAAGAACAATTTATGCAATGCAACTTTGTCAAGCCAGAAACCAATAAAGCCGTTGGCTTCAGCTCCATTGCATGTCGCACCATCAGCAATAGCGAAACAAATACAGTTAAAGCCAAAACAGAAGTTGACATCAGGTCAGAATACAGTTTCTAAGTCTAGTCCGATCAAGAAGAATCTAAATACGCAGCGCGATGTGTGAGTTATACATTTTAGAAAAAACCTTTTGCATTATTTCCTTATTAAATGTAACCCTCTTGTTTCGCTCTCATGTCGATTAAGAAAATCGACACCATTACTTCTTTTTCGAGGATTTTAAGAAGACTGGGTAATTTGCTTATCTTCACTACCCAAGCCGATAAGTTTATTGGATAGTCTTTATATAAGTTCTTTGAAAACCTTGAGTATTATTTAATCTTTTAGCTCCATCTGGTAGTTTGCAAGATCTAATTTAGATTTAATTCGTCGATACTGATTGAATCATTTGCAATCTACCCTGACTAGTGAAAATTTCAAATGATTAACTTATATAAACTGAAAAATTTTATTATTTTTAAAAAAGGAAGACGCTTAGAATATTTATATATAGTTCAACTTAAATAGATTATGCAGATTTCTAGGTGAGCTTAATGAAAATCATTATTATACGTCGAAAACTAATGTGCTTATCCTATGCTTCACTTATAAGAAATTTCTTTTCTTGTCCTTATTCTCTCTACGCTCCTGTTTGTGTGCTTAAATTCTTCATCATTATCTTTAGAGTGCCTCCTACTGCTGCGGCTAACAAGTCCAGTACCAGTGGCTTTGCACACCACTCTCCGTCGACGAATCTTTTATCTTCTATTGGAAAATCG